CCGCAATCCCTTCTCCTCCATTCTCCTCTCGGGATCTTGGGCACGCACGCACACGTGCCCGGCATGAGTTTTAAGCCACCGGGTCCGGGACGCAAACCGCGGTCAACTACGTGGGAGTCCAGCGACATAGCCATTACGCTGTTGGTTCCCCCAAAATAAATAATTCTTAAAAAAAGAAAAGAAAAGAAAAGAGATACTGCAAGAAAACTTTGCAAACCTTGAAAGGTATTCAAATATCCAGACCCAAAAAATACAAAGGACCCCACATAGAATCAACCCAAGAAGATCTTCTCCAAGGCACATCACAGCCAGATTGACCAAAACCACAGAGAGAAGATACTAAAATTGGCAAGAAAGAAACATCAAGTTACTTTCAAAGGATATTCCATCAGGCTAACATTGGACCTCTCATCAGAAACAATGTGAGCAAGGAAAGAATGGGAAAATATATTCAAAGTGTTAAGTGAAAAACAATTTCAACCAAGAATACTATACCCTGCAAGATTATCCTTCATATGGGGAGAAAAGATAAAAACATTCTCAGATAAATAAAACCTGAAAGAATTTACCAACACCATACCAGATCTCCAAGAAGTGAGGGAGTGTTATACCAGGGAAACTGAAGTCAGACATACAAAAATAAGAGAACAAAAAACAACCAAGAAAATGGCCAGCCTAATGGTAGGGACAAGTCCAGAGTTGAATGTTGACTTGCAGAATTTAAACAAGAAAGATCAGACCACAGTAACACTGCAAATTCCCTAGAAGAGAGATTAATTACATGAGACTGAACTGGTAAAATAGAATTTGATGACTTTTGACAAAAACATTACTGATTTTCTTCTATGCTTTATTTTCCAGATTCAAGGATTTTTGTCTTCTCGTGAACTGTTGATAGGTTCATCTACCTACTGCTTGAATAGAATCCTAACCTTTTTCCAGGCTTTAAGTCTTAAACAAATTTCTCTTAACATTTTAAAATTTTAATTTATTAAAACTAAAACTGTTTTTCTTGAAATTAAAAAATGCATTAAAAAACCCTATTTAATGACTGCAGTAAGTTATATAGCCCCAGCTAGGTGCTACTTTATAGTATGTTCATTCTACTCACTGAGGTTTATGCCTGAAATCAGATATGTGTTTATAGATATGTATATACCAGCTGTACTTACTATTGAAGTATTTAGATTAAGATCTTTAGTGAACCAATAAAATGTGGGGAAAAAAGGTATAGAAAGTGACTATAGATACCAGAGACAATGTGGGAGGCGGGTGGGAAATGGCAGAAGGTGAGAAGTAGAGAATCAAGGAGGGGGGAGCAAAATATATAAGAAACGAGAAATAGAAAGTTATTTGCTGACCATAACACATATGGTAATATCCCTGATTGAGCCAATATATACTGAATTTGGATGGAAAATCTAATTTTGTATACTGTAATGATGTACAGTGAATGAATGTAAATAAATAAGTTAAAAATAAAAAAAAGAAGTCAAACAGTGGACATTTTGGGAGGGAGGGGTGATAATAACTGGAAGGTGGGCTTCTGAAAGGTTGGTAATGTTCTATTTCTTTTTTTTAATCTTCTTTCTTTCTGAATGAGAAAGACAGACAGAAAGAGAGACAGAGAATCAGCACTCTCAACAGGCCCTCCCACACTGCGATCCTCCTCCAGCCTCAGCTAGCCCCAGATTGTGAGCAGATGTGTGGATGGCGTAGTCAGGGAGGTCTCTGGACACTAACCTGGAATGTTCCTATTTGGGTCGGTCCCACAGAACATCACACTTTACAACTGTGCCACTGTCCAACCCACAGATTTTTTATTTCTTGATCTGGACACAAGGGACTATTACAAGGACGTTCCCTTTGTGAAAATTTACTGTATCATATACACTTAGGATTTGTGTTCAAAGATGGTGGTATGGCTTGAACGTGTTTCCCCAGAATTCATGTATTGAAATCTGGTGAGCCTTCACCCCCTGCTGCACATCAACATGCTGTACCAGGCCAGGGAGGAGGAGGAAGGGGGTCCCCGTGAGCCACCGGACATGAGAGACCTCATTGCCATCCTGTCCCCACAGCAGATCCCCATTGCCACCTTAGAGGAGTCCAGGATGGTTGTGAGTACTGTGGAGTTCTGAGGATTGGGCCTCTCAGGCAGCTCGCCAGAGAAAGAGAGAGAAACAGACAGAGTGGAAGGGAAAGTGAGAAATCACGCCCTCCCAAGGATTTGAACCACAGTCACCATGTGGGGTGCAGCTTCTCCTGAAGAGCACATTACCACTGTGCAACAGAGCTGTCCTTTCCACTTTCTTCTTTATCCCCTAATTTTAGAGCTCATATGACTCACTAGGAATGTCTCCAGAAGCAGAAACTCTCCAAAATATATGAGGGGATTTCAAAACATTCATGGAAAAAATGGAATTAAAATATGAGTTACCCAGCTGGTAACATGGTGGTTGAGGTGTCTGGATCACACACGGCCAACTGAGCTGTTCAAGTTCCAGACTCAGGAGCCCGAAAACATGCTGGGTGCATGTGTATGCAGCCCCAAAATCCCAAAAAGAGAGAGAGATGGAGAAGGAGATTGCAGCATAACTATTCCCCATGGGGAGTGCCAGTTTTCTCACTTTCCCTCTCTCTTTCTGTCTCTCTCCAGTGAGTGTGCTTTCTAGAAAATCTAACTGAGTAAAATAAATTAAATGCATTATTTTGGTGTGAAATATTTTGAAATCCATTCATAGATTTTTCATAGTATTTATTTTCTATGAACTTTTGAAGAGCACTTCATATAATTCAACTGGATAGTCCCACCTTGTTTTGTCTCCACTGCCAGCTCTTACTGCTTTCTACTCATTATCTGTAGAGATCTCAAGCAGTCTATTCAAGGTGTAAGGATAGCCATCTTCCTACTAAGATCATCAGGGGAGATCCTAGAAACAAAACTAACCTTCAAAGACCAGCCTCATCCTGGCTTCCCTCAGAGAAACACATAAAGGTTTTATATATCAGTATCAAGTAAAATTTTAAAAAGGGGCTGCTGGGCTGGCTCTGTGGCCTAGTGGTTAAGGGAGCTGGATCCCACACAGCCAACTACACAGTTAAAGTCCCAGATCCAGGGAACCAGCAGTTAGCATAATGGCTATGTTGCTGGACTCTCACGTAGTTGACCGCGGTTCGCGTCCCGGACCCGGTGGCTTAAAACTCACGCTGGGCACGTGTGCTGCGTGCCCAAGATCCCGAGAGGAAAATGGAGGAGAAGGGATTGCGGTGTGACCATCCCCCGGGGGGGTGATTTCTCGCTTTCTGTCTCTCTGTCTCTCTCTCTCTGTTTGTCTGTCTGGCGAGTGCACGCGCCCTATAGCGAAAACCTCTCCAAAAAAAAAAAAAAAGTCCCAGATCCAGTGGTTTGAAAAACACACTGAGCATGTGCCTGTGTGCCCCAAATCCTGACAAATGGAGCAATGGAGAGGGGATTGTGGTATGACCACACTTCTTTGGAGGGTATTTCCTCCCTCTTTCCCACTCATTTTCTCTGCTAAGCACTTACATCCTCTGGCAATTAAAACAAGGACTGCTGAGAAACTCTGTGACTATAAGGTAGAAGCTAAATAATAATGCATTTCAGGATAGGAATACCTGGCAAGAAGCCAGTATCACCAAATCTGTATGGTCCCTGGAAGCCTACCCACATGTACCAACTTACGGCTGACACAGCTTGACAAGGTCCTGGTCAGTAGTGCCTGCTTGCAACCCTCGGATATACAGGTTGGTTTTGCTCAGCTGGTCGTTCCCGTTGCTCCCGCTGCTGCTGTTCGGGGTGCTGCTGCTTGGACTAGGTGGTGCCATCTGCTGAGCCAGTGACACATAAGGCTGCGGGAGACATGAGAAACAGAAGATCAAAAGATTATACATTTAGATGTTGGATAGTGAGAAAGATCCTGGTCAGGACTAGCAAATGGTATAATAGTTGTATCGCTTGACTCCCAAGTAGTTGACCACAGTTTGAGTTCCAGACCTGGTGGCTTAAAATTCATGCTGGGTGTGCACATGTGCATGCCCAAAATCCCAAGAGGAGAATGAAGGGATTGTAGTGCGGCTATCCCCTTGGGGGTGACTTCTCACTTTCTGTCTCTGTCTCTATGATGAGCACACACGTCCTATAGCAAAGAAATCTGTCCCCCCCCAAAAAATCCTCATCTTCTGCGCGGTGGGGGGGATTGAAATGTTAATAGCAACAAATTTAACAAAGATAAAAAATATATATTAAAAAAAGGACCAGCAGGTGGCGTGGTGTTTGAGGTGCTGGACACTCCCACATAGCCGACCACGGTTTGAGTCCTGGACCTGGTGGCTTGCTTTCTCACTTTCCCTCCCTTTCTCGCTCTCTGTGTCTTTCTGTGGCCAAATTAAAATAAATGAATGGGTAAATAAAATTAAATAAATAGTCCTTTAAAAAATATATATATATATTTAAAACGAGACAATGGAAGAAAGAAAGAGGAAAAAAGGAATTACTATGCTGTAGAGTAAAAAAATATAGAGAGACTGGCAGGTAGTGTGGTGGTTAAGCCACTTCCACATGGCTGACTGGTTCAAGCTCCAGACCTGGTGGCTTGCTTTCTCGCTTTCCCTCTCTCTAATAACTTCAAAAAAAAAAAAAAAAAAGACAATGAATAAAATGAAATAAAAATAATTCTTAAAAAAATAAAGTATAAAACTATTCTACCTATCTTTCAAGAATAATGAGGGGCTGGCAGGTGGCATGGTGATTAAAGATATTGAACTCCCACATGGCTGACTGTGGTTTAAGTCTTGGACCTGGTGGCTTGCTTTTTCACTTTCTCTCTCTTTTTCTCTCTCATTCTCTTTCTCTGGTCAAACTAAAACAAATAATAATAATTAATAAAGTTAAGTAAAATAATTATTTAAAAAATAATAATAATGAGAAGCCAAAATAAGTTTGTTACACATTCTGATAAAAAGTCCAGTAAGTGGCGTGGTGGGTTAGGCACTGAATTCTACATGGTTTACACAGTTGGAGTCCCAGACCCAGTGCACATACATGCATGCTTGAAAATCCAAGAGGAGAGGGGCCAGCAGGTGGCTTGGTGATTAAAGACACTGGATTCCCACATGGTCCACCATAGTTTGAGTCCTGAACCTGGTGGCTCACTTTCTCCCTCTCTCTGTGTTTCTATCTCTCTCTGGTCAAATTAAAATGATAAAGTTAAATCAAATTATCTTTTTAAAAAAGAAATTAAAAATCCAGGAGGAGAATGGAGAAGGGGTTGTGGTGTGATCATTCCCTCTCACTTTCCCTCTCACTATATCTCTGACTCTCCAGAGCACGCATCCTTGAGAAAAAAAAAAGGTATTTATTGGACCAACCCATTGACCCATGCCTTGGTGATTAAGGCAGCTGGATCCCACATATGACACTGCATTTCGAGTAACAGCTTGAGTGGCTTAAGAAACAGGCCAGGTTCATGTGTACATGTCCCCAGAATTTTTTTTTTAATTTTATTTATTATTATTATTATTCAATTTTACTAGAGAGAGAAGGAGAATGATAGTGAGAAAGCAAGCCACTAGGTCCGGGACGTGGACTGTGGTCAGCCAGGTGGGAGTCTAATGCCTTAACCACCATACCACCTGCTGTCTCCAATGTCCCCAGAATCTTGAATGAAGGGAGAAATGGAGAAAGGATTGTGCATGACTGTGCCCCATGGGAGGGATGCTTTCTCACTTTCCCTCTCCCTTTCTCCCTCTCTCTCTCCCCACCTCTCTCTTTTGCAGGCACACACTCCCTTTGCCAACCTAATCAATCAACCAAAGTAGTTATACAATAATGAAATTTTGTATAATACACACATTGCAGAACACAATTAACTTCTGCCTCTTTTTCTGTTAGAACTATTTTATTTAACTTTATTTATGTATTTTAATTTGACCAAAGAGGGACAGAATGAGAGAGAGAGAGAGAAAGTGAGAAAGCAAGCCACCAGGTCTAGGACTTAAACCACAGTCAGTCTTATGAGAGTCCAGCACGCTTCACCACCATGCTACCTGCCAACCCCAATGTCTGCCTCTTAAGTAAACTATAATTAGTCAAGACTAATAAAACCTAGGTTCTATTAAAAAATGATGAGGAGAAAATAATAAAAACTTACCAAATCATAAATGATATAAATTGAACATAGATTATTCACAAAACTGTAGAATATGACAACTATAAAATACCTCTAGGAGCTTAAAAAGTATTGTTAACTTGGACAATAAAATAAAAAACTGGGTCAATGAGCAATTCAAGTCTAGGACCCAGAGGCTTGGGAAACACACTGGGCACATGTGCATGCATTCCCAAGGTCCTAAAGGGAGAGAAAGACGGCACAGCAGATTGTGGTGTGACCATGCCCCATGGGGTTGCTTTCTCTTTCTTCCCATTCCTCCTCAAGCACATGTGCCCTTTGGCAAATTAAAATATGTGTGTATATAAAAATATATATTATACATATTACATATATATGTAAGGGAGTAAAAATGAAATTCATTACCATAGTAATAGGAACTTAGTCAAAAGTTATTTACAGGGACAATCAGGTGGTGTGGTGGTTAAAGCCGTTGGACTCCCACGTGGCTGACCACAGTATGATTCTGTGACTTGAAACTCATGCCAGACACATGTGCATGGCTGCCCCAAATCCCAGGAGAATGGACTGAGTGTGGTCATTCTCCAGGAGGGTGATTTCTCATTGTTCATCTTACTTTCTCTCTCCTCTGGTGAGCATGTGCAACTTAAGGCAAAAACCTTAAAAGAAAAGTTATTTACAAATTTTATTTTTTTTCAGTTTTGCTATAGGAGGCATATTCTTGCCAGAGAGAGATAGAGAGAGGGAAAGTAAGAAATCAACCCCCAGGGAGAGGGTCATGCAGCAACCCCTTCTCCTCTATTCTCCTCCTGGGATTTTGAGCACACACACGCACAAGCACCTGGTGTGATTTTCAAGTCACTAGGTTCCAACTGGAATTGTGGTCAGCCATGTGGAAGTCCAGTGCCCTAACCACCATGCCACCTGTTGGCACTCTTATTTATGACTTTTAAAAACATTTATCTGAATGAAAACTAGATTCATTATGGCCAAGGAAATTCAGGATTTGGGATGAAATGTCTCTAATCTTTCACAAGTGATACTAATATGGATAACACATCATGCACATTTTCTTTCTTTCTTTTTCTAGGTTTGTGCCATACGGTGCATGCACTGGCCAGAGAGAGTGAGAGAGAAAGTGAGAAATTACCCCCTGGGGGGATGGCCACGCCACAATCCCTTCTCCTCCATTCTTCTCCTGGGATTTTGGGTTCGTGTGTACACATGCTCAGCATGATTTTCAATTCACCAGGTCTAGGACTTGAACTGTGGTCAGCCATGTGAGAGTCCAGTACCTTAACTACCATGCCACCTGCTGGCCTCTCATGCTGCATTTTCTAGGTACTTCTGTAAGACACAAAATGCCAGGTGGGCTAAAACATGGATCCATTCCTTTATGGAGTATTTTATATCCTCATACCTTAATCAGACTTTCACCATTTACATTTGAAATTGACTCATAATATTCTACTAAACTTGCATAATTATCTCTAATACAGTACATTTTACTATATGACACTCATAATCTTTTTCTTCCTTGACTCAAAGCACTAATATAAGCTTGTTTGGTGTTACTTCCTCCTAAAATGCTGATTTGGGGCCAGCTTGTGGCCTGTGGTTAAGGCAGTTTCATCTCACATGGCAAACTGTGTGGACTGAGTCTCAGATCTGGTGGTGTGAGAAAAACACCAAGGGTGTGTGCGTGTGTGCCCAAAATCCTGAAAAGAGGGAGAAATGGAGGAAAAGGATGACAGCATGACCCTTCCCCATGGGAGGGAGAAAAGGGTGCTTTCTTGTTTTCTCTCTCTCTCTCCCCCTCTCTCTCCCTAATAAACATACATACCCTCTGGCAAAATAAAAATAAATAAATAAAATGTTGATTTTCTTTCTCCTCTTTAAGCTTATGTCAAGTAATTCCTAACTAGTCTCACTGCCTCTGGCCTCCTAACCCTCTAAACCATCCTCAATAATGCAGTGGTATTAGTGTTCTCTAATACATGTGATCATGTAATTTTTCTGTTTATAAACCCATTAATGTTTCTCCTTCACTTCCAAATCAAATCTCCTTCATAAAAAGATTCAAACCTACACTCTTCTACTGGATAACTTGACCTATTCCTTTGCTACATGATAATACTTTATCATTCCTTGTTTCTAAGGGCACACTGAATACCATCCCAGATATCTAAGACACTAGGCCAAATGTGAGGCCCTGTTCAAATCTTTGAATCATAAGGGGCACAGTACAGCTCTGAGTCCTCTTCTAAATGGCCACTAATCCAAATTGCTTCAGGTATTTCACCTACATGAGTATGAACCAACCAAAGTTATATGTAAAAACCTGTAAGGCTCCTTTTCCTAGAAACCATAAAACTGCATGTCATTCAAAGGGGTGAAGTAAACTGATGGATGTCATAGCAGAAGTCTTTTTCTTTTTTCTTAAGTTTTTGCCACAGGGCGCATGTACTTGCCAGTGAGACACAGAGAGACAGTGGGAGGGAAAGTGAGAAATCACCCCCTGGGGTACATGGCCACACCACAATCCCTTCTCCTCCATTTGCCTCCTGGGATTTGGGGCATGCAGGCACATGTACCCACCATGATTTTCTTTTCTTTTTATTCTTTTTGAGGGGTTTTGCTATTGGGTGGGTCCACTCGCCAGAGAGACAGAAAGTAAGAAATCACCTCCCAGGGGGTATGGCCACACTGTAATCTCTTCTC